AAAATGTACATGTAACTAGTTGTACTTTCTAATGTAAAAAAGCTTCTTAAGATGTTAGTCACAAGCCATTATGTTCTTGCTACTAAATAAAAACCATAACCTTAAAAAGGCTAGTTTTACTAAATTACATCAGTGAAGCTTAACGTCATAATTGCTATATCTCAAAAACGTACTAGCTAACACATATCAGTGGTACTAAGAAAAAATGTTCGGCGTTTCAAAAAACCTTACTCTAACATTTAGGCCTATATTCTTATCATAATTCATCACTAATGTAATTTAGTGCATTGAAAAATATGTTTAATAATTTATATTTATTATATAACTATCTAATATATTAGTTAAAGATTGTTAAAGATGATGCTAAAATCTTAGGCCTTAATATGAAAATATAAATTCTATTAATATCCACCTATACTCTTTTATTATAAACACTAACCCTAACCTAACTATAAAAAAAAAGCTAAACAAAGAGTAAAAATGCTGGTGAAATAAAACTAGTGTGGTGAATAATAAGTAGGAAAAGCGTCTATATTCGAGAATTTTTTGAACTATATATTTTATTCACGCGGCTTTAAAAATTTTATATTTCCTCCAATACCTGCTAATTCCACGTCAATCTAAGCATTTGTACTATTTATGGATCCTTATTTTTCAATTTGCCTGTTAAATAAAAGCATCGATTAGGTTACCATTACTTCGGTTAATACATAATAACTATAATCAATCGATAGTTACTGATTAAGACCTATTTAAGTTCAGTTCTGCTAATGCCACGGCACTCACAGCAACTGCGTCCTGTACGATGCAGACCTTGTTCAATTATCACAATTGCTATGAATTATCATATACGACAAGTTTAATCGTATTCAAAGTGGTTTGTATTTCAATATTAACTTGATAATTATTTTTAGGTTTATTTTTTTATGCAAAAAAACCCGAATTTTTTCATAAATAAGGATTATTCAGAGCAAATAAGTGAACCGACGGGTGCATGATAATGAGCAAGATTAAGAATATAAATACAATGGAACATAACATGGACAAGCCAAGAAAATCTATGGACATAGTAACGATAGTAACTTAACAACATTGATCCTGATCTTTTACGAGATATAATACATAACCGTTATAAATTAAGGCACTGTCAGTTGGGTACTCTACGTGGCGAAATACGATATGACTCGGGTCATAATCAGTGTCTGAATACAGAATAGTATAATAGTTATAAATATTTTTTTATGTTCACAAAAAAAAAAAATAAAAAATAAGGCGAATCTATTTGTCGCCGGCAGTGACAAGCCAAACAGATTGCACGATTCAAAAATCAAAAGTTCAAATCAAAATACTGTTATTATTCTACTGTTCACAAAATTTTTTTTAATAGAATTTATACTGTGCAATAATTTTCTCATGAGAACTCTGATAACACCAATTTCGGACAATTTCCTTGACCTGATTATGAGTCATAATCCAAGTCAGGACGGTCACTGCATATTTTTCAACCTGGGTAATGGCTCTAGGTCACACGTATAAGTTTAAATAAGTAGCTTATTTTAAACTTGATGGTTCATTGTTCAAGCTTTCTAGAAAAACAATGTTATTGATAAATAATCCGAATTTGAAATTTTAGATGATCTTTGATACAAAGCATTTGGGGCGTATACTTATTCCAATGTGCGTAAAAGATAAAGAAAAAAAATGCGAAATGAAGAAATGCGAGTATCTAATTCGATCTTGAAATACTAATTAAAGTGTCGGAAATGCAGTTTTTCATACATAAATCGCTCTTTCTTCAACTATTGCCATTTACTTATTCATCCTATTGCTATATCTATGTAATTACGTTTTTTGACATAATTTCCTTCTTTGGCTTGTGTCACTGGGCGCAAATAAATTTATTCACATTTGGCCATCATTTTAGTCATTAAGGCATGAGAGTGAAGTTGGACCATATGATTCTGAGTTAAAAATGATCGGATCTAAAAACAATTATAAAAAGCTCGATTTTTTAAAATCGTTGCCTTCAATTTCACAATTCATCAAGTAACAACGACATGCCAACTATTGAAGTAAAAACAAATGTAAAGGTAACATGGCATTTAATACTTTCTTATTATTAATTTGATGGACGTATAACAGTGCTAATATTGATATTTAACTTATAATAGGTGAATAAAATAGAAGCCTTCCTTAAAGCTATTACCGAAGCGAGCACAACCATTCTTAGCAAACCCAAAGAGTATATACAAGTCATTCTCAATGATGAGGTGCCCATGATATTTGCTGGGACAACAGATCCCACGTACATGGTTAGAATCCATTCGAGAGGCGGGTTTTCTGATTCATCAAACAACCAGAGAATGTCAAAAGAATTTGCGGATGTTTTCAAAGATTTGTTAGGTGTGGAATCTACCCGTGGTTATTTCTATTTTAAAGATCCTGGGGAGCATAAATGTGGATGGAATAATACAACTTTTCCTTAATGCATTATAAGATTGGAAAAGTCAATGGCAATAACGATAATATATATTGAAATAATGATATTTTTCTTTATTGTTGTAACAAATAAATGCTATAATACTATAATAAATTCTAGATTATTTTCGTTTTATTTTTATTTAGGAAATTGATATTCACATCCTCTTGTAAATTAAATTTTTTTTTAAGCTTTTATTGACAATCACCAGGCTAAATTTGGTGAACCTTTTTTTATAAATTCAGTTTATCGAGTTTGGAACCGTGAAAAATTGCGCTAGCGTCGCTTAATTATAAGCTACACGATTAAGAATCGTTTAACTGTCTATTAATCGTTTAACCATTGATTAATCGTTTATTGTTTATTAATCATTTAATCGTTTATTAATTATTTAGTTATTTATTAATCGTTTGATTGTCTATTAATAAAAAGATGAAGTTGTCGAGATCTTAGTGCAATTAAGTAGAGTAAGCAGCAAGATGCCAGCGAAAATCTTCTTTGTTATAATATCATGTTGAATATAGACAATATAGACACCGTGTAAGTTATGGCAATTTCTGATTAGTTTATTGGGTTTATCTAAAGATTGATTTTAAAAATTTAATCTAGTTTTTTTATTATTGTAGATGCATCTTGTTTGAATGAACTTAAACCATTGTTGATACTGATCTTTTATATAGTAAATTTAAAAAACAAACTAAAAACTAAAATATAAACTTTATTAAAAAAAAAACTCTTTTTAACAATCACTTAGACACAAAAATTAGCTAAAGAAAAATCAAATTTTCTGCATAATTAGTAATAAGAAATATCTTTAGTAGTATCAAATAAAAAGAAGCAAAAATAGAAAAGATATTAGACAAGCTTAAGAACAAGTTGTATTGCAGTGCTAGTAAAAATTTTAAAAAATAATAACTATAGAGATTTTTACTTGATCTTTGTTTGTTGATCTGTTTATATTATATAAAATAACATATAACAATAAAATAATAACAAATATGTACAGATTGTTAAATTAGAATAGAATAAATAAATTGTAGCAAAAATAACAAATAAGCAAAATATTTAATATAGATAAATAGTAAAATATTCTAAAAAAAAAAACAAAAAATATATAAATAAAAATGAGTTTGTTAAAAAATATAAAAAAAGTTAACAACAATTCTTATAAGAAAAACATATTAAACAATAAATAATATATATATTAAAATAGAGGTGTGGTGACCTAGTAAAGTAAATAGATTGTCAACTTCTAAGTGGCAGACCTAGAGTTTAAATTTCAGTAATAGTGAAAATTTGCAATTCTTTCTGTATTATGATTAACTGTCTTTTGTAATTTGTTAGTATTAGATATCTGTAATCTGTGTCATACAAGCATAACTGTAGGGTCTAGACATTTATACAATATTATACAAAGAAATACAAATTGGTACTAGGCAGTGTGAACCCATAATAAGTTCTTAGGTTATATAAATCACAAAAACTAGATAGAAAGATAAAAGTTACTTAAAAGATCCAAGTAGAAAAGTAACTTAAACTTTCAATGCTGTTACTATAAAAACTAAACTTATAAAACAGAACTAGAACTTATTTCTTAGATTGTAACACAGGCAAATTTGTTTGCGTTAATTTTTTTTAAAATTAATTTTTATAATAAAAACTTAACAATTAATTTTAGTAATATACTTTCTAAATAAAAAATATTTT